TATATTACCTTAAAAATTTAGAAAGTTATTAATGCACCGAAAATGCACCAAGGAAAAAAAAATCCGACTTTAATTAATAACTTAAAAAATGTTTTTAATATTTTTTTTCCCTGTGTTAAATTAATAATGGGAAATTCTTCATCTATGTTTACGTCTATGTTTTAATTTTCTACTCGATTAAATAAATAAATAACAATTTTTCTCTTTTAAAATTTCACTTGTTAACATTTAACTATTTCAAAGTGATGCTGGAGATCGTTAATGTTATCTTTTACATAAAGTTTATTATAAAAGATGAGGATAAAAGAAACATAAAAATCTATTAACACTTAATGACTTTCATTTTAGAAGTGTTATACTTTAAAAGAAAGAGAAAATTCATTTATCACTAGTTTTATGACTTCAGTATTATTACTTAGGCATAGTAATTTTAAAATGTAATTTTAAGAAATTTTTTAAAAAAAATAATTAACTTTATTAATTAATTTTAATATTTTTCTGAGACGGTTATAAATTGCAAAATATATTTCTCTGCAAAATGTTTTTTTTAATGCTTTAGCTTGAAAATTTTTAGTTATTTTTGACACAAAAGCATGCATGTTTTTTTTTTAACTTCTCCCACCATAAAGTATTTATACACACTACCAGATAAAGTAATTTATTTTACCAATCTCCTTTGCTTCACTCTGCAAATAAAATAACTTCTGCACTGAGAAAACTGTAATTTCCTTCTACTATCTTTATTTTTGGTCAAATTCTTCAGTTTGGGATCGATAATGCACAAGCCACACTGCAAAAGGGAATCAACCAGGATGCTCTGTGCTTGAATTCTTAAACTCTAACACCGTCAAAGCTTTACCTCTTGACTAACTTTATCTCATTCGATCCAACTACGTATCATATACGTCGATTCTGTTCCAGATGTAGTCTCATGTCCAGTTGTACTATCGCCGTTACCAGCGAAACTTTCGGTGATCCTTGCCCGGGAACGTATAAGTACTTAGAAGTGCAATACAGGTGCATGCTAGGTTGGTTATTCTTTATGTATATGTTAGGTTAAGTAGCCATGTAAGAAAAAAAAAAGAAAGGGGAGTAATGGAAGTTAGCAGGAGAGACATTATAAAAAAAAGAAAATTTGATTTCCTCCTTTATCCTATGAGGATTCCTTCATCTAAATTCAAACCGATTTGTAAAGAAAAAAATTTCCTGGAGTAAAATTGACTCTCGGAACTTTATTCCATCAGTAATTTGCATGCGTAAATACATTTCTTTGACCGACGCCATTTTCCCAATGATCGAAGATAAACAAGGGACATTTTTTCCTGCAACTTTCTATTTCGCCCTTTGTGTCAAAAGTCGACTGAGAGAGAATCATGTTCCAATCTATTAAAGCTGTAGTCTGAAAGGAAGTTGCACCTTACCAGCATCCAGTGCTGTTTTTAACGATCCATGTCCTGATACACGAAAGTACCTCGAAGTCCACTACTTTTGTATGCCAGGTATATGTCACATATCCATGTTTCTCTCTCTGCATGTATGTTTATTTATATTAGACCGACTCTGGAAAGATTTGTATACTTTACATCCAATATTTATATAGATTATATTTAATTTTATTTAGTATTAATAATTTTATTAAGAAAATTTTTGCATGTTAAATTTAATTACGTATTGCATGCTTTATTTATTTATAAATTATTTTTATTAATTATTATTATTATTTTATAATTATAGTGTATTTTCTTGCATGTTAAGCATGTTTAAAGTAAGTTAAACCATTTAATATCTCTTTATAATGTATTGTATTATTATTGTAGATTCAACATCAACCACAACATCAACCACGATGATAACGACGACTACGTCGACCACAACAAGACCACCAATCATCATCCCAGTGACCAAATATCAAAGGCCAACCTCAACATCATCTTCAGTCATATCTGATGGCGATTCTAGTCGCTTTAAGCCTACAAATACGTCTACAACCTTATCCCATCACGAATCTTCTTACGTTATCACTGGATCAGAGAAAACTATTTCCTCGACTTCTCAAACACCCACTAAACTTCGTTCTTCGAGCACCGAATCCTTTAGGCCTTCTCTATTCGTTACAGGTAGAAAAAAAAAAGAAATTTAATTCATAATAGTGGAAGAAAAAATTATTTAATAACACTTTATATCAATTGTAGAATCATCAAATAGTGAAAGAACTCGAAGTCCCGATAGCACAAATGTTGATAAATTTAAAGGAATGTGCTCACCTGTACATTCGCGTACGTTGTTTTGGAATTGGACTAAAGCGGGTGAAGTTGCTGTACAAAGATGTCCAGGAGGTGCAATAGGTAAAGCTTATCTTTACAATTAAATTTAATTTATAAAATTATTATTAATTTTAACGTGATATATTAAATATTAACATTACCTTTTAGCACGATTCCACGTAATTAATTATAGTCTAAACTTTACGTTTATTGATAAAAAAAATTATATCTAAAAGTATTTTTCATTGAAACATTACGCTTTAAATTTGTTTTCTTTAATAATTTTAATTAGTTTGAAAAGTTTTTAAACAATTTTCCAATTTTTTTCCCCGTAATAAATTATTTAAAAAAAATTACTTCTATTATTTATTGCATAAGAAAAATTCTCTCAAACTTGGAAAAAGTATTTTAATCTACATTATAAGGGTAAAGATGTATTTTTTTTAATATATATTTTTTTTAATTGCTAAAAATGCTTCGGAAATCCATAAGCCATAATCTTGAGTGTAAAAGAGATACGCTTATCTTATTGTAAAAAGTAACGTGTTCAACCTGCGATAACACCAGGAAGGAAAAAATAATTAGTGATTATAAAAGAACATTAATCTGGTTCATAGAGTGGTTTTTGATTACTTTGTATTCTCCACCGACTTAAAAAAATATTTATAAATGGATCGATATTTTCTGAATTAGGTGAAGCAAAGTGGAGTTGTTCGTACAGTGATGTGACATGGACTCCAGCATCTCCAGACTTAAGCCAATGCAGTTCTGTATGGGTAGATAATCTCAAAAATAGGGTAAGTTCTTTTAAATTTATTGAAATTCATCTTGACAGTGGATTTAGAATAATTTTCAAAAGTAGCATTTATTACTGAAGAAAAGCTCTTACAAGATATGAAAGACTTTTATGACTTTAAAAAAAAATTTTATATAAAATAACATCTAGTTTTAATTCTTGTTTTGATATATGATGCACATATTAAAATTATTTAAATGAAAATTGANTCTTGTCTCATTAAATTCCTTTATCTCATTTATTCTGTTTACTTTTTTTAATCCGAAAATTTTCTTCTTTCTTTTTTTGTATATGACAACAAAAAACTCGTGTAAATTTATTCAAGTTAGAAATAAAAAAAAATCCTTAATATCACGTATCAGGTAACGTAATAATTTAATCTGGCTCGTCTCTCTCCACACTTTTCACGATCAAGATGCGTGCATATTCCGGGCGTTGCCATGCTCTTTAATTTGGCGGTATTTTGGGTGGTATACGTTATACCTAAATACTGCCAGACGAATATATATATATATGGATGTTTCTCCCGGATCCATTTGTCACTATAGAGACGACGGGACTGGTTGTGTCCGAAAGAAGTGAAAAACGACTACGTCATCCTGTGAAACGTCTTCGAAATTTTTTGTCATTAATATTCTTGCCTATCCTTAATGTGCCACAATATCTGGTACTCGGCTGCACTAAAAGTAATGGGTTGCTTTTTAATGGAAAAATCTTTCCTTGTTACCTTATAAGAACCTTTTTTTTTAAAAGTTTGGAATGAAAAACAATATATATAAAACCACAACAAGACCGCCAATCATCATCCCAGTGACCAAATATCAAAGGCCAACCTCAACATCATCTTCAGTCATATCTGATGGCGATTCTAGTCGCTTTAAGCCTACAAATACGTCTACAACCTTATCCCATCACGAATCTTCTTACGTTATCACTGGATCAGAGAAAACTATTTCCTCGACTTCTCAAACACCCACTAAACTTCGTTCTTCGAGCACCGAATCCTTTAGGCCTTCTCTATTCGTTACAGGTAGAAAAAAAAAAGAAATTTAATTCATAATAGTGGAAGAAAAAATTATTTAATAACACTTTATATCAATTGTAGAATCATCAAATAGTGAAAGAACTCGAAGTCCCGATAGCACAAATGTTGATAAATTTAAAGGAATGTGCTCACCTGTACATTCGCGTACGTTGTTTTGGAATTGGACTAAAGCGGGTGAAGTTGCTGTACAAAGATGTCCAGGAGGTGCAATAGGTAAAGCTTATCTTTACAATTAAATTTAATTTATAAAATTATTATTAATTTTAACGTGATATATTAAATATTAACATTACCTTTTAGCACGATTCCACGTAATTAATTATAGTCTAAACTTTACGTTTATTGATAAAAAAAATTATATCTAAAAGTATTTTTCATTGAAACATTACGCTTTAAATTTGTTTTCTTTAATAATTTTAATTAGTTTGAAAAGTTTTTAAACAATTTTCCAATTTTTTTCCCCGTAATAAATTATTTAAAAAAAATTACTTCTATTATTTATTGCATAAGAAAAATTCTCTCAAACTTGGAAAAAGTATTTTAATCTACATTATAAGGGTAAAGATGTATTTTTTTTAATATATATTTTTTTTAATTGCTAAAAATGCTTCGGAAATCCATAAGCCATAATCTTGAGTGTAAAAGAGATACGCTTATCTTATTGTAAAAAGTAACGTGTTCAACCTGCGATAACACCAGGAAGGAAAAAATAATTAGTGATTATAAAAGAACATTAATCTGGTTCATAGAGTGGTTTTTGATTACTTTGTATTCTCCACCGACTTAAAAAAATATTTATAAATGGATCGATATTTTCTGAATTAGGTGAAGCAAAGTGGAGTTGTTCGTACAGTGATGTGACATGGACTCCAGCATCTCCAGACTTAAGCCAATGCAGTTCTGTATGGGTAGATAATCTCAAAAATAGGGTAAGTTCTTTTAAATTTATTGAAATTCATCTTGACAGTGGATTTAGAATAATTTTCAAAAGTAGCATTTATTACTNAATTTTGATTTTAAATTAAAGAATGCACTATGATAAATAATTTTAACTTTTTTCTATTTATTTTTTGTTTAGCTGCCTCTTCTGGTGAATCAACTTCAGAATCTGATGATTCTGATTTTGATGATTCAAAATTCCATTCAGCAATGTTCATGCAAGTAAGTGTTATGTACTGGTAACTATATTGAAAAGTAGAATTCTTACTGAAAAATAATATTTGTAGTATTTTGTTTTTATTCTTCTGTCAATTTAATGAAAATTTTTATGTAATTAAAATAATTTTAAGTAGTTTTTAATTTCCTGGTTTGCAATCACAATTTTAAATACAGTAGAGTTCATTTATAATTATCTGTTATTTAATAAATCTTGGCTGTCCTCATTTAGATGTCAGAACAGCATTTTTTCCTTCTCATTTACACAGTACTACCATCAAAGATTTAAATTTAAACAAGTTTTACATAATGTTTTCATTATTTAAAGATAATTTTAGGTTTATGTAATTAAAATAATTTATATTTCAGATCGAAAGAGGAGATTCTGTAGTTAGTATTGCTGCAGAACTTGGAGTCATTACTCGTAATAAAGTACTTTACGGTGGAGACGTTAGCCAAACGGCGCAGATTATGCATAGATTAGTTGAAAAAATGGCTGATAAAGTGCAAGACGTTCCCGATGACAAACAACGTCATCAAGTACTTCAAGAATTGTTAGAGGTAATAATTTAATCAAAATTTTGACGTTGCTTAATTTGATATGTTATATCTCATCTCAAGTTAAATTTACTGATAAAAATTAAAAAAAAAAATGTAATTTTTCAGATAATATTTTTTGTTGTCTAACCTTTCTGATAAGATATTTTCAGATGATGGTTAACTCATTTTAGAAAATTTTGTAGAAGTTTTTAAAATAAAAATTCCACATATATTTTCGCTTAAATAGATAATAATTATATGTTATAGCATTTTTCTTATTTTATCTTTAGTTAAATTAAATAAGTTATGGCAAATGATAGAAGAGAAGCATTAATTTTCTATTAAATTTCCATTTTACTTATATTAAATATTCATTTTTTAACTTTTTAAAAGTATTTTGTTATACATTAAATTGCATAATATTAAATTCCATTAAAAATGCTAATTAGAAGAAGAAAAGCATTTTTATAAGAGAGAAATTCGAGGTGTTTTTTTTTTATTTTTTAAGTAAGAAAATTCTCATAAATTTTACATAAATAGAAAGTGTTAAATTACCTATACGAATTCTGTAAAATACATTATCTGTTGCGGGTTATTTTTTATAAAAATTATAGAAAATTAATTATTTTTTTAAGATGCGTAAACCGTGTTAAAGTTATTAAGTTGACTTATCGTTATATACATCGAGTATAATGTGTAGAATAATTGTTCAGTTGAATGCATCATTTAACTGCTTTTCGGATGTTTGACTTTAAACAGAAAATCGAGAATGCCAGGCGGAAAGTTAAAAAAGAAAAAAGAACAGCATCTTCAACATCATTAGTGAATGACGTGCTTAGAAAGTTGGTTTAGAAAGAGACAGTTTTCGGTGATTACAAGGCCGTCAACATTTCAGGGGTGATATTTTCGGAATAGTAGATACACCGTTTGACTTAGTACACTCCAATGTTCTTGCTGTATTTTTGTGAAAGTAGAGATATACTCACCCCTGCTAAACTAACCATAACCAAAGTCGGTATTTCGGTAAAAGCATTCCGCTCGTTGAAGCTTCATTAAAGATCTTTCTACCAGACAGGTTTTTAACAGATGTAATTCTTTATCTTTAAAAAAGAAAATGTCGGAACATTTATTTTCATCTTAACATAATGGAAATTTGAGAACTCTTTACGTTTTCTTATATTATTGATTTTTTTTTTTCTGTATCGATTCTATAGGTATTCTTTTATGTATAATACATATCAATTTGTCTATCCGAATAACAATATAAATAAATTAAAAGATGAGTAAATGATAAATTAACCAAATGATTTACCAATGCTATCAGTAGGATTTATTCTTTATCTTAGATGAAATAAAGATTTAATAAGCTTAATGAAAATACTGTATTAACACCACGTTTGATTTATTGTTAAAAATTTAATAATTAAAATATATAACGGGAAAAGTTTCTTTATTTTAATGTTGAATTCATATATTAATAATGAGTTAAATAATAAATTACTGGATAGAGTTAATAAATTCATTTTTTTTTTTAATTTTTAGTATTATTATGTTAATTTTGCAATTTAAAATTGCTGTTTCAAAAATTAATTAAATAAGAATTGTGAAATAGTTAATGAAAAACGGGGATGTTCTTTTGAATTAATTTGTATAAAGTCTTTCAGTTTATTATTATAAAAATAAAAAAAAGTAAAAATAACTCTCGGATCAATGTATAAATGCAGCATCTTTTGTTCTCTCTTCTATCGTTAATAAAACAATCAAAAATAATATACAGTACTCTTTCATATTTGAATACAAAAGATGACAACTTGTAGAATTTCGGAGAAATGTTGACATTGATTACCTTTTCATTAATTAAAGATATTGAAAAATACTTCAAAATATTTAATTTAACATTATTAAATGAAAACTGACACCTGTTTGTTATTACTACATTTTCTTTCTCTACCTAAATTGTATTGTAGAAAAATTTAATTACATTATAATTTTTATCAAATATATATCTTATAATTTAATAGAAATAATTATATATTTTTAATTTTTATTTTTATATAGTCTGTGACTGAAGTTAGTAGTAATCTTTTGGAAGAAGATCATAAAGAATCTTGGGGTGATTTATCTAGTGTAGAGCAAAAACACGTTGCCTCTATGATATTAGAAAATTTAGAGCAGAGTGGATGGATGTTAGCTACAGCTCACAAGTCCAGATATCATTTTAGGAGAGTTGAGGGTAACATATGTAAGTATTTTATTTCATTTAAGAACCGTTATACTGTTATTATTGCTTAGTTAGAGCTAGTAAACTTTTAGTTTGAAGGAAAAATTCTGTGCATTTTTTTTTACAAAATATCCATTAAAATTCGTTTTATTAAAAAAACTTTATCATAAAAAAATTTTTCAACGATATATTTTTCGAAAATTAAAAAAATAAATAAATAAATAAAACAAAAATATCTCTACGAACTCTTCTAGGATTTACTTATAAATATTTACAGCATTTTAAAAATGTTCTTTTTCATTTTAAATAATAGCTATGAGTGATTTTATTCCTTTATATTCGATTTTCCTATTAAAATGTACTATATGACAGTTTTATTATCAAACATTAGAATTGCGACTATCATTCAATGTATCCTTTTTAGTATAAGCCCAGATCGAATTTTTATCCTTTAGGTTGATCCTTCTTGCAAGGAAATACCAAAATATGAGCTCCTTAGAGACTTCTATTGCTTGGAGGTATCAGAATGTAACTCCTTCAAATAAATCCTTTCTACTAAGAAGCAGGAGACATTCAGATCTATCATATATATATATATATTAAAATCGTGTAGTTAGTTTTCGAGAACATTTACTTACTTTGGTAAAGATCTGAGAGAAAATTATCTTTTTTTTTTATTATTATTTTTTTTAATAAAAGAAGTCGATATATATTTTGTATATATGACATTAGAAAATTTACTCCGATCACGTTTTCCTTTCATCGAGAATCTTTCAAAAGAAAAAATTCTCATAAAAATTAAAGACCTTTCTTCAGATTTTTTCAGCTATAATATCTCGCATCAGTGAAAGTCGAGACGACTCGAAATGGCTAAAGAATCTCGAAAATCGCTAAAAAAAAAAAAAAAAAATTAATAAATCTAAGGATTAATGTCTTCTAAAGGTAGCAATATCCTTCTAAAAGAGGACACAAGCTGTTAATTATAGAATATGCACACATTTTTAAAGCAGCTAAATGTCGAAAGATCATAAAAGAACGATTAAATTTTCTTTTAATAACAACTCTAAAACGATTTAATTATTATTATTTTTTCTACTGAAATGAACGTTCTTTTATAGTAAATATTTTAGATTAATTTCATTCTACTAATTTTGCTTTAATTGATTAAAATATTATCCAATTAAAGGATACGTTTAGATAATTAAAATTTACAAACCGAATCGATTATACGTTTTAAAAAAATTATTTATTTTGTATTTTAAATTAAGATTTTCGTGTGTTTTAATTAAAATATATAAGTTATCTTCGCAAAATTCTTATTCTTCCTATCTAAATTAAGGGAAGGGGATGTTATTATATAAGCGCTTTCACTTATATGGTGAAAGATCCATTTCGGAGAGGCACATTACTCTCTAATATTTTATAACTATAATATATTTCGTGTGTAAGAACTTCAAAAAAAAAGTTCATGCTGCATATAAAATATTAAGCTATATACAGAAATTTTTGGAAGCTTTTAGAGTACCTATAAAGCTTTAAACTTTTATATCGGCGCTTTCATCGTTGATAAAATAATAAAAGAAATAAATAAATAAATAAAAAATATTTTTGATCAGTTGACAATCTTCCATATATATATATATATATATATATCTAAGAATTGCATCCTTTAAACATTATCCCGATAAGGAATACATTTATTTATTTATTTATTTTCTATCGGTTTTTAAATACGTTTCATCCATTTACTAAGGTTACCAATGAGGCAAAAAAGAAAAATTTGCTCTGAGTGTGCCTTGAATCTGTTCTCTCTGTTGGAAGCTTTTACATTTCCCATTCAGTTCGCCTTAAGGATCATTCAAATATGACATCCGCACTTGGAAGGAGGATACGTAAAAATTTTGTGATAGATTGTGATGGGGATGTAAATAAAGGTATTCCTCGTATAACACGGTAGATGCGTTGCGAAAAAGTGCCGTGTTATGCGAATTCGTGCTATACGAAACAAAGAACTAATACAAAACATAGGGCTACGTTTCAGAAGTTAGCAAAAGTATACTGTTGTTTTTTATTACTAAGAGAAATATATTTATTAAACAATCAATAATTTATTTTCAATTAATAATTAACTAACAAGCACTGTTAGTATTAAAAGCACTGTTAATATTAATTTTAGTTAAACGAGGGAGTTTTTTTCTTTTTTCTTAGTATCGTCATTTTTTTTTTGTTGGTCTTTATCAGAAATATCAGCAACGTCTTCATTTTTTTTATTTTTATCATAATTTTTTGTGATGACGAAATAAAAATATGTTATTAATCGATAATTTGTTATAGCAGGTCGCGTTTGTTTAGTCGAGTAACGAGCGATTTTTTTCGAGAATTTGTGCTGGAATAAGTGTTGTTCCAGTACCGAGATACCGTTGTATTTCTTTCGTCATTTTTACGAACGATTATTGACCTACGGTTTAAAAAACGTTTAATAACACTTATCTAAAAATGCTTAAATAAACTGTACTAAATACGAAGATTAATCTATCGGCTTTTTCATAACGTGGTGGATTTAAAACAAAATATGGTGGCAGTCTTAAGGGCTACTGGTGGTTGGTTGGTTGATTATGATCTGGTCGGGCTTGAGCTTCTAGGCTATGCAGCCCCGGCATAAGAGTTTAGTTTAAGGGCTAAAGTCTGAAAGCAACGACAACGACACCTGGTTGATAATAAAATTTCTTTCTTGTCCTAGCTTTCTTAGCACTTTTCATTAAAGGAAACCTGACGACAAACACAAAATAATTTGAAAATTTCAAAATTCTAAAATCCATAGGCACGCGTGCTTACTTGAATAAAAGATATATTTATCGAATAACGAAGTTTATTCTTAAAAATTGTAAAATTTTGTACGGAGAATTTCCANAAATGTTTTTTTTTATTAACACTCGGTACTTTATTAAATTTAGGTTAATGGAAAAGTTCGTGTAGTTTTGAAGCCACTAGTTAAAAAGATGCCCCTAATTGGTGCTGTCACAGTATTTTTCTTTAATAATCCTGTAAGTATTCTTCTTAAATGTTTAAACATTGATAATTTAAATGAAACTTATTTCTAAATATTTGTTTCCTAATGTATAAAGACTATTGTTATATATATATATGTATATATTTTTTTCTTTAATTTAAATTAAATTATATATCATTTTGATTAGTTCGGTTTATATTGGTTTAGGAGATTATGTTAAGCTGTTTCAAATGGTTTTAGGTTAAGCACTATGGTGTTATGTTACGTTGTTAGATTAGAATATAATAGGGTTATGTGAAATTCGGTAATGCGAGGTTAATGTATGTCAGGTTAAGTAATGCGGATTATACTATAATTAGATTGTCTTAGGTTAAGGCAAAGGTCAGCAACCTTCTTGTCAGTCGAATGCTATCAGAAAGTGATATGATAGATTTACAGATTTTTAATACTAAATAAAACAATGTAATTGCTCTAAAATATTGTTGTTTATGTTTACAAACATAAAATAAACAATAGTGAATTTATTTCAAATACAACTAAATATGTATTAATAAAATCAACGTAGAGTTCGCGAGCCATGTTATTTGTTAATAACAATGCCGTTTACAATGTAGAATAGTTTATTTAGTAATTAACAGGCAAAGCCTTTGAGTGGGAGAAACTGGATATTTTTCAGAGGAAATCACTATAGGCCCTAAGAAAACTTTGTACCTGTAGTGATTCCTATATTTATAAAATAAACTCTATTTTTACTAACACAAAATAAAATCTTTACGACTGTTTTTATTAACAAATAAACATTCTATGCATTTCATTTGTTCAATAAATGTATAAAATAAAGGCAAAAAGGACCCGCTAAAGAGGCAAAAGTGCCACACACAAGCTCTCGACAGCCCTGTTTACAGATGCTGAAAAGTGGGTTCTATATTTAATGTGTTGTTTCCAAGTATATATCATAGGAAAGAGCTATATCGAGGTTTAGAAATGTTACGTTTAGTCATTTCTGTGGTTAGGTAAGAACAACAAATTTTGCTCGCGGTTCATATATTATTAATTTATCTATGTAATATGTATACACTTCGCATAACAACTCATAAGCATTAACAATAGGTTGTATTATATTGTGTTAGACTAGCAACGTTGTATTAAATTAAGGAATTCAAAAACTAGTTACAACATCAATATTCTATTACGTTTTTGTATATCCATATATAAATGTTAAATAATATTATATATAGCCTATATTTTTTTCTTATTTTTGGCTGAATAGATTTTTATAAAATTTTAAATTTAAACAAGTTTTACATAATGTTTTCATTATTTAAAGATAATTTTAGGTTTATGTAATTAAAATAATTTATATTTCAGATCGAAAGAGGAGATTCTGTAGTTAGTATTGCTGCAGAACTTGGAGTCATTACTCGTAATAAAGTACTTTACGGTGGAGACGTTAGCCAAACGGCGCAGATTATGCATAGATTAGTTGAAAAAATGGCTGATAAAGTGCAAGACGTTCCCGATGACAAACAACGTCATCAAGTACTTCAAGAATTGTTAGAGGTAATAATTTAATCAAAATTTTGACGTTGCTTAATTTGATATGTTATATCTCATCTCAAGTTAAATTTACTGATAAAAATTAAAAAAAAAATGTAATTTTTCAGATAATATTTTTTGTTGTCTAACCTTTCTGATAAGATATTTTCAGATGATGGTTAACTCATTTTAGAAAATTTTGTAGAAGTTTTTAAAATAAAAATTCCACATATATTTTCGCTTAAATAGATAATAATTATATGTTATAGCATTTTTCTTATTTTATCTTTAGTTAAATTAAATAAGTTATGGCAAATGATAGAAGAGAAGCATTAATTTTCTATTAAATTTCCATTTTACTTATATTAAATATTCATTTTTTAACTTTTTAAAAGTATTTTGTTATACATTAAATTGCATAATATTAAATTCCATTAAAAATGCTAATTAGAAGAAGAAAAGCATTTTTATAAGAGAGAAATTCGAGGTGTTTTTTTTTTATTTTTTAAGTAAGAAAATTCTCATAAATTTTACATAAATAGAAAGTGTTAAATTACCTATACGAATTCTGTAAAATACATTATCTGTTGCGGGTTATTTTTTATAAAAATTATAGAAAATTAATTATTTTTTTAAGATGCGTAAACCGTGTTAAAGTTATTAAGTTGACTTATCGTTATATACATCGAGTATAATGTGTAGAATAATTGTTCAGTTGAATGCATCATTTAACTGCTTTTCGGATGTTTGACTTTAAACAGAAAATCGAGAATGCCAGGCGGAAAGTTAAAAAAGAAAAAAGAACAGCATCTTCAACATCATTAGTGAATGACGTGCTTAGAAAGTTGGTTTAGAAAGAGACAGTTTTCGGTGATTACAAGGCCGTCAACATTTCAGGGGTGATATTTTCGGAATAGTAGATACACCGTTTGACTTAGTACACTCCAATGTTCTTGCTGTATTTTTGTGAAAGTAGAGATATACTCACCCCTGCTAAACTAACCATAACCAAAGTCGGTATTTCGGTAAAAGCATTCCGCTCGTTGAAGCTTCATTAAAGATCTTTCTACCAGACAGGTTTTTAACAGATGTAATTCTTTATCTTTAAAAAAGAAAATGTCGGAACATTTATTTTCATCTTAACATAATGGAAATTTGAGAACTCTTTACGTTTTCTTATATTATTGATTTTTTTTTTTCTGTATCGATTCTATAGGTATTCTTTTATGTATAATACATATCAATTTGTCTATCCGAATAACAATATAAATAAATTAAAAGATGAGTAAATGATAAATTAACCAAATGATTTACCAATGCTATCAGTAGGATTTATTCTTTATCTTAGATGAAATAAAGATTTAATAAGCTTAATGAAAATACCACCGAAAATGCACCAAGGAAAAAAAAATCCGACTTTAATTAATAACTTAAAAAATGTTTTTAATATTTTTTTTCCCTGTGTTAAATTAATAATGGGAAATTCTTCATCTATGTTTACGTCTATGTTTTAATTTTCTACTCGATTAAATAAATAAATAACAATTTTTCTCTTTTAAAATTTCACTTGTTAACATTTAACTATTTCAAAGTGATGCTGGAGATCGTTAATGTTATCTTTTACATAAAGTTTATTATAAAAGATGAGGATAAAAGAAACATAAAAATCTATTAACACTTAATGACTTTCATTTTAGAAGTGTTATACTTTAAAAGAAAGAGAAAATTCATTTATCACTAGTTTTATGACTTCAGTATTATTACTTAGGCATAGTAATTTTAAAATGTAATTTTAAGAAATTTTTTAAAAAAAATAATTAACTTTATTAATTAATTTTAATATTTTTCTGAGACGGTTATAAATTGCAAAATATATTTCTCTGCAAAATGTTTTTTTTAATGCTTTAGCTTGAAAATTTTTAGTTATTTTTGACACAAAAGCATGCATGTTTTTTTTTTAACTTCTCCCACCATAAAGTATTTATACACACTACCAGATAAAGTAATTTATTTTACCAATCTCCTTTGCTTCACTCTGCAAATAAAATAACTTCTGCACTGAGAAAACTGTAATTTCCTTCTACTATCTTTATTTTTGGTCAAATTCTTCAGTTTGGGATCGATAATGCACAAGCCACACTGCAAAAGGGAATCAACCAGGATGCTCTGTGCTTGAATTCTTAAACTCTAACACCGTCAAAGCTTTACCTCTTGACTAACTTTATCTCATTCGATCCAACTACGTATCATATACGTCGATTCTGTTCCAGATGTAGTCTCATGTCCAGTTGTACTATCGCCGTTACCAGCGAAACTTTCGGTGATCCTTGCCCGGGAACGTATAAGTACTTAGAAGTGCAATACAGGTGCATGCTAGGTTGGTTATTCTTTATGTATATGTTAGGTTAAGTAGCCATGTAAGAAAAAANAAAAAAAAGTAAAAATAACTCTCGGATCAATGTATAAATGCAGCATCTTTTGTTCTCTCTTCTATCGTTAATAAAACAATCAAAAATAATATACAGTACTCTTTCATATTTGAATACAAAAGATGACAACTTGTAGAATTTCGGAGAAATGTTGACATTGATTACCTTTTCATTAATTAAAGATATTGAAAAATACTTCAAAATATTTAATTTAACATTATTAAATGAAAACTGACACCTGTTTGTTATTACTACATTTTCTTTCTCTACCTAAATTGTATTGTAGAAAAATTTAATTACATTATAATTTTTATCAAATATATATCTTATAATTTAATAGAAATAATTATATATTTTTAATTTTTATTTTTATATAGTCTGTGACTGAAGTTAGTAGTAATCTTTTGGAAGAAGATCATAAAGAATCTTGGGGTGATTTATCTAGTGTAGAGCAAAAACACGTTGCCTCTATGATATTAGAAAATTTAGAGCAGAGTGGATGGATGTTAGCTACAGCTCACAAGTCCAGATATCATTTTAGGAGAGTTGAGGGTAACATATGTAAGTATTTTATTTCATTTAAGAACCGTTATACTGTTATTATTGCTTAGTTAGAGCTAGTAAACTTTTAGTTTGAAGGAAAAATTCTGTGCATTTTTTTTTACAAAATATCCATTAAAATTCGTTTTATTAAAAAAACTTTATCATAAAAAAATTTTTCAACGATATATTTTTCGAAAATTAAAAAAATAAATAAATAAATAAAACAAAAATATCTCTACGAACTCTTCTAGGATTTACTTATAAATATTTACAGCATTTTAAAAATGTTCTTTTTCATTTTAAATAATAGCTATGAGTGATTTTATTCCTTTATATTCGATTTTCCTATTAAAATGTACTATATGACAGTTTTATTATCAAACATTAGAATTGCGACTATCATTCAATGTATCCTTTTTAGTATAAGCCCAGATCGAATTTTTATCCTTTAGGTTGATCCTTCTTGCAAGGAAATACCAAAATATGAGCTCCTTAGAGACTTCTATTGCTTGGAGGTATCAGAATGTAACTCCTTCAAATAAATCCTTTCTACTAAGAAGCAGGAGACATTCAGATCTATCATATATATATATATATTAAAATCGTGTAGTTAGTTTTCGAGAACATTTACTTACTTTGGTAAAGATCTGAGAGAAAATTATCTTTTTTTTTTATTATTATTTTTTTTAATAAAAGAAGTCGATATATATTTTGTATATATGACATTAGAAAATTTACTCCGATCACGTTTTCCTTTCATCGAGAATCTTTCAAAAGAAAAAATTCTCATAAAAATTAAAGACCTTTCTTCAGATTTTTTCAGCTATAATATCTCGCATCAGTGAAAGTCGAGACGACTCGAAATGGCTAAAGAATCTCGAAAATCGCTAAAAAAAAAAAAAAAACTTTAATAAATCTAAGGATTAATGTCTTCTAAAGGTAGCAATATCCTTCTAAAAGAGGACACAAGCTGTTAATTATAGAATATGCACACATTTTTAAAGCAGCTAAATGTCGAAAGATCATAAAAGAACGATTAAATTTTCTTTTAATAACAACTCTAAAACGATTTAATTATTATTATTTTTTCTACTGAAATGAACGTTCTTTTATAGTAAATATTTTAGATTAATTTCATTCTACTAATTTTGCTTTAATTGATTAAAATATTATCCAATTAAAGGATACGTTTAGATAATTAAAATTTACAAACCGAATCGATTATACGTTTTAAAAAAATTATTTATTTTGTATTTTAAATTAAGATTTTCGTGTGTTTTAATTAAAATATATAAGTTATCTTCGCAAAATTCTTATTCTTCCTATCTAAATTAAGGGAAGGGGATGTTATTATATAAGCGCTTTCACTTATATGGTGAAAGATCCATTTCGGAGAGGCACATTACTCTCTAATATTTTATAACTATAATATATTTCGTGTGTAAGAACTTCAAAAAAAAAGTTCATGCTGCATATAAAATATTAAGCTATATACAGAAATTTTTGGAAGCTTTTAGAGTACCTATAAAGCTTTAAACTTTTATATCGGCGCTTTCATCGTTGATAAAATAATAAAAGAAATAAATAAATAAATAAAAAATATTTTTGATCAGTTGACAATCTTCCATATATATATATATATATATATATCTAAGAATTGCATCCTTTAAACATTATCCCGATAAGGGATAATGTTTAAAGGATTTATTTATTTATTTATTTATTTATTTTCTTTTCTATTTCATTTATTTATTTATTTATTTTCTTTTCTACACGATATACTTATCATAGATAATATATTAAATATATATATTATCAAATGTATAAAAATAAAAAAGAAATTAGGAATTTTTATTGGATTTATGTCATTAAAATTGATTAATTACTTTAACGGGTTAAATGACATAAAAGTATTTTCCTCCTCTATGCATTATTATAAGTTATATGTAACACGTTTTGTCCATTAGAACTTTTCGGTGTATTTCAAATTTTCTCTTTCAAATCAAATTTGCTCTTACTTTGTAATGAATGCTATTGATTGAAATGTCAAATTTATCTGAATATTCATTTACTTGAATAGTGGTATCCGTAAGACTAGTAGAAGCATGGGCTGTGTCGGAAGTTAGCTTTCCTTCACCAGAAGATGTGTATGGTACAAGTTGGTCATCCGTACAAGATTCATTAGTTCTACCGACTCAATCATTATTAGGCAGTGCAACTAATGGTAAGTGTCTTAGGAAGTCCAATTACCGATTACATATTTATGTTAGCTGTAATTACTTAATTTGATATTTTGTACATTTATTTAAAAATATATAATTCGTTTATTAATATTTTTAAAGTACGGTTACATTTTTCAATGAGGACATTAAAGAATGCATCTGAAAAAAAAAAATGGTGGTCGTTATTACAGGTTCGACTGTTTATTAATTTACGAGAATTTATTTTAAAAAATTTTCTCGTTATATTTTTCAAGTCTTGTTAGCGCCTAATCCAACCAAATGTCATTTTTATAAATTTTTTATTGGGGTTAAAAAAAAATATCACGAAAAAGCATGATTACCTTCAATCATCATTTACCTTATTTTCTTCAATAAAAAGTCGTACGTAGTTCCCTCTACGCTAATAAGAGTAGATGTGCCTTTCCAACTTACCTTTTTTTTGGAAAAAGTAACTTTAAAAATAGAAGATAATTCTAGTAATGCACAATTTACCAAAACTGCAATTCATTATTCTCAATGAAAGTTTATCTCGTTGATTAAAGTAATTGAAAGTTGTTTTTATTATTGTTATTTTAATAAAATAAATATTTTAATTCAATATAAATCATTTCTATTATTAATATTAATAAAATTTGTTGATGATTTTCTTAATTTTGAAACTTTACCTGTAATGTGTTTAGCTTTTATCATGAGATTATCCAACTTCAGTTAAGAGTTGCATTTCCTAAATATCATATCTTACTCTCTACCTATCTATTGAAAGGAATTCATTAAATCTAAAATTTTTTAGATAAAAGACTTGAAAACTGAGTCCCTCTAACAATTTCAAATATAAAAAGTACTCTAATAGGAGCGGGTATGATAAAAAAAAAATAATAATAATAATCCCGATAAGAATGATGGATGTATATCATGTAAAATCCGTACATTTCTGTATAGAAAAGAAATTCTTTGCACAGATAACAAAATAAAAAGAAAATATATTTACAATATATGCCATAAACTATAGGAATGAATCTAGGTTGTGTTTTTCCTTAGACTACTTGAGTTACAATCACTTAGCGAATTACAGAGTCGACCGACCAACAAACAGCGCTTCCTAGATGATGGATTATGCTTCATCCGTCAAGCTTAAGAGAGGTTTTGTGTCTCTTATGTGATTTTTTTCTCCCTTTTGCAATTTCTCTACTCGCATTTTATTAGTGTATATCGTGAGAAAACTGTTCAATGATCCGAATAAGTTTATAAATGTCAAAGAAGAAGTCCATTATTGGAGATGTCGGTAAAGAATATCAATAATCCATAGTAGTGTCTCAGCCAATGTTCGATGGATGTTACTTCATTGATTTGACCCACCTGCGATAAATCACGAAGCAGAGAGAATTCTATTAAGTATAGCTTTTTCCTAATTACACTCATTCACGGTGAATAAAGTAAAGGAAATCGAACGGATATCATTTCTCCATCCCCATCATAAAAACTAGTGATGAAGTATATCTTTTACTTCACAAATATACATATATATATATATATGTTTTTTTACTTCATAACTCAGCAGTAAATATTAACTTTATTTTCATATCTTATCGGAGAATTTAATTTTTCAAACAATTTGGCAAAAGCTTTCAAAACTGATATCGAATTTTTGTAGATAAAAATATTGTTTTAAAAAAAGTTTATTTCTCATCAATAATTAAAAATAATATTTGTTATTCTCTTTTTTATATTCTAATCGATAAAATTTTGGCAAAGATTAGAAGGGAAGATAAAGTATAATGCAATGTAAAAAAGTATTATAACTCTAGAAATATTCAACTTACGATTACTAAAATTTATGAATAATTTAATCTTTAAATAACACACTAATTAACTTTGCTTCTGAATTATTAAAAATAATCTGTAAGAACTATTACAAAGATTTAAATGACTATTCATAATAGTATTTATACAAAAATTGTGTTAAAAATTATAAATTTATTAACTTAAATACTAATGAAAAACATAGAAAATTATATAAAGTTATTATAATTTTTTTTTTTAATTCAAATGGTATTTTTCCCCCCATTGTTTGTAAAAGAATTACTTTTTGTGTGACGTAATCTGTTCAAGTATTCTTTAAATACAATGAATAAAGATATACGTCAATTTTCGTGACTTATCATAAATTTCTTTTAAAGTCATCTGCAACTCTCGAATGATACAAAAGAAAATTAAGAGGAAAAATATTAGTTTTTTATTCTTACGTTTTCATGGAATGATTTTATTATTTTCTCGGATTGCCTATATAATTAATCATTTTTACATAAACAAAACCCTTTTAAAAAAAATTTTTTATGTATATCTAAGCTATAATTTAAGCCTATATATATATATTAAATGGATGAGCACATTGCTTAAAGTTTGATAAATAAAATTTGATATCACTTTGGTATTTTATTTTAGTTTTTTTTTTTTTTTTCTTGGAAATTTTTGACATTAAGCAGGTGGCAAAAATTTTGATGAGAAACAGGTGACAGGATTATCTCTTGTTAGGGCTTAGCTTATGTAAGAATTATAGACAACTCATAAATCATTTTATATTTCAAAAAACACATAAATTATATGATAAATGTGCTTTGGTATACTATGAATATTTTCGTAAAGTGTACGTTACATATTGATATAGTGGATGGTTTATTAATATAGATTTCACTTTGTTTTTTTTTCTTTTTCGGTAGGAGTCGTAAAAGTGGTATTTTTAGCATATAATAGAGTCGAAGATTTTATGAACCATGACAATCTTGGCGAAATAACATCTGATTCGGACAGTAATATTACACGGATAATCAATTCACGTGTAATAGCAGCTACACTCGGAAGTTATCATATGGTGAAACTTGCTGAATCCGTCACCATTTACTTTAAACATATTCAGGTAATTGTTTTTATTATTATTATTATTATTTTCTAGTAAGAAAATTCTTCAATACAAGCGACTTTCTTTTTGTATTAAAAAATTCTATTGGCCATATTTTGATATTTGAAGACTTCGTGATCCAGTTGAAGCTATTATTATGGTATAGATTTCAATTTGTAGAGAGAATTCTATGCCATAAATTTTCAATTAAAAAAAAAAGGTCTTTCATTGTATATTAGTTAATTATAGACCGTAAATCCTTTCCGTTCGAAGTGTTATGCCTATTTTATGAATTAATTTATTATGCAATAAGTTTTTGTCTGTTTACTGCATAATGATGTGGTATCATAACTATGATTATTTTCAAGAGCGGCATTTTTTTTAAAATACTTTACACGATGTTATGTTTAAATTAGTGGTTTAATCTACAAATAATTAAATATCTGTATTACAAAATTAAAAATAAATTATTTCATAAATTAGAATTGAAAAATATCATCGAAATTTTATTGATGATGCTATATAAACCAAAAATCAAAATGGTGGCTGATGTATGGGATATAAATTTATAGGAAAGTTATGATATAATAATTCATTTATCTTTATCTAATGGTAATGAAAGAGGGGGGGAGTTAGAATATCTGCTTTCAGTATCTTCTAAATAGACCATATGATAAACGATCATTACTGACTGGATATAGTCTGTCACTAAAGAGACAATATCAGTTTTCAACAGATCTTTATGCCTCTCTTGATATCTTCTTTAAGTCTTTTCCTTTGAAATCATAGACAATAAGAATTGTCTATCATTGCGAACGATCGATGTCCTGAGTAAAGAGAAAACGTTAGTTATTGACTAAAATGGCCAGTAGTTCCGAAAGACATTTGTTGAGATGTCAAAAATGGGAAGTCATATAAAACCTTTAAAAAAAGAAGAATAAGAAAAAATATATATTTGATATGTAATATAACCATTTATTTTTATATTCCTTCTCGTAGGAAGAAAATGTTACGAATCCACAATGCGTCTTTTGGGATTTAGATACCAGGTAATTATCCTTGTTTTATCTTGTGAACATCTTCGATAATTTAAAGAACCTTAATCACTTTCTTTGGAATTTTATATCATTAAAAGTATCATTCTCAAGTGACTCTTTATAAAATTAAGAACTTTAAACAGTTAGGCGTAAAGAGATTTTAAATGATTTTTAAATGATGTGGATAATTAAAATTATAATTTATTTTTTATATATAGGCCTATATATGTGTGTGTGTGTGTATAGTAAATCAATATATTTCTCTGTTTAAATCTTTGAAATTTATATTTTAATAGGGAGTGGTCACCTGAAGGATGTTGGGTGAAAAGTTATAATTTTACTCATACGGTTTGTGCCTGTGACCATCTCACAAATTTTGCTCTAATGATGGACGTTAGTGCAACTAAGGTAATAAAAAAATTATTATAAAATTAAATATTTAATATATTAATTCTTAATAGTTATGAAAAGTATTAAAATAATTCCGAGAAATTAAAGAACAATTAACAAACGTATATCGATACTAGTTCTATATGTTTTACTAAGGTTTGATAATTATGGTACGCCTTAATGGCTATTAGGTAGAAAGGAAAAGTAATTAGCAGAAAAGTAATTAGTGGAAGTAATTACTTATATAAAGTGTTAGTTCTCTCTTCTAAGCTGTAATTTTTTTTTCTTTCTTTTTTTATTTTTATTTTGTAGATTAACCACGGTGAGAACATCATGTTGAAGATTTTTACATACATTGGATGTTCCGTCTCTATGTTGTTTCTAATCTTAACTCTCATCTTCTTGCAAATGGTCAAGTAAGTCTATAGTTAATTCTTCCGGTAATCCTTCTAAGTGACAGATTTGTTTGAGTTTAAGTAGGAAATGATGGGGATCAAATACACCACTGGGAGGTCTTGAAGGACATTGTCTTTTAAGTGGGACCACCTAGCAATTACATCAATTTTATTTGATACTTATCTTCTTAATTGCCTTTTTTTTTTCCTTTAATAATCAAAACTCTTTCTTTTGTAAAGTATTTAGAACCATTTTTTTTTCTTTATTATCTTAGGAATTTGAAGAACGATCACATCACCATCAGGAAGAATTTTTGCATATGCATTTTTATAGTAGAGGCTGTACTTATAGGTGGAATTGACCAAATGCATTTTAAAATATTATGCTCCGTCCTAGCAGGATTAGTACATTATTTTCTATTAGCATCATTCGTATGGACTTTCTTAGACAGTTTTCAATTGCACATAACATTGGTGAATCTATACGAGACAAATAAATCACGGATGAAATGGTACTATCTAGCCGGATATGGCCTACCTTTATTGGTTGTAGTTATATCAGTAATAGTTGATCCATCCAGTTACGGAACTGAATCATATTGTTCCTTGGATATTACCAATTTCTTCGTATTTAGTTTTGTAGGACCTGCAATAGCTTGCGTGCTGGTAAGTGTATTTATTATTTTTAAGTATTTTTTGCGTGTTTAAATTTCTGAAAATATTTCTATCCTTATGTTTATGATAAAAACTAATTTTTTAGGTATACAATTTTTAAAAAAATACATTTAAAATGCATTATAAACATTTCTAAAAGACGTTTTTTTTTTATATTTATAACCTTTAACCTCAAAGTATACTCGAAGGAAGAAAGATTTATATGCCTGTGTGGACATAGATTCTATGTATGAATGCACGACTTCCGGGGCCCTTAGATACAGAAGCTGGGCCCCCTACATAATTTTACACCATAAACTAATAACATATAATTGTAGATATAGAATTACTTATAAATTATGATATACACTAAAATTGCTTTTTTTTTCTAATTTGGGGATCTTTGAGACCTGATACTCTTAGGCGTGTCTTAGTGGATAATCTGGCACTGCATGAATGCAACCTAAACAATACTTATTTATTAAGTATAACGTTACTATATATATATATATATAAAAAAAATAAGATCTATTAATTCATATAAAAAACTTTATTTTGTGTTGTTTTATGCCATTAAGTTCATTCATAACACTATGAAAAAATAATTTTGTTATAAATACGAATGTTTAGTCCTTAAGAAGATATTTACATTTTTATTTTTCTGTCAGTTTTTTTTTTTTATTTTTTGAAATGTAAATACTCTTTAAAAATTAGCGTTTAAAGCGAATCTGATAGAATTTTTTCTGTATGATAAATGAGATGAGAAAATAAGACACACTGACAGCATTTTGGCATAAGTAAGTAATCATTCTCACTTTGAGAAATGGTAGGGGGGTTTCTGAATTCTAAATATAGCGAATTGAACGCGTGTCAGTAAATTATGACTTTGGTATTAAGTTAAGAAAACTGTTTTCAGTTCACACGCAGATGTTTGCTGTTTGTCACGTCGAAATTTAATTTTAAAATATAATATTCTTTTAATAAAAGAACGTTAATTTATACGAAAATTTCTAAAAACAACTTATTTTCTATGACTAAAAAAAGTAAATATATGTGTTAAAATTGATCTATTCAATCTCTCATTTAACTTTAAATATTTCAGTAAAACTATTGTGTTATCTGAATTTTAATTATTTTGTATAGGAAATACGCTTCTTGAGTTTTATTCTTACTTTTTCTATATTACATTATGTTGTTATATCGTTTATGAAAGACAAAATTCGTAAAAATATATGAAAATTCGGCTCCTTTAATCTATCAGCGAAACTATTAAAATAATAGCCTAATTATTTTTTATATAGAATATATTATTATTGGCATGCACAATTGCATTAAATTCTAGAATGGCAAGAGACATTTTTGTCTGTTGTTGTGAACATGTCTTACTAGTTAATGATTCGTTTGAATGAAATTATTCATTTCGAAGAGAAGACAATGAAACAACGACGACACTCCCCTTTCTCCCTCATTGTTATCCTGTAGAATTCAAGGTGACAGTTTCCTCTTTATTTATTTTTTATTACAGCTGCAATAGATTCCTGGAATATATCTTTAGACAATGACATCCGTGCTTTGTTTTCCTTTTTTTTTTTATTTTTTTTTTCCTATACGAATTAAAATTAAATGAATAATAATTGCTGCACGAAGAAGTGTGTAGACACAGTGTGGACTCGTACAATCTATGCATTTTTTAAATAATTAATACAATAATCTTGAAAATATATCAATGAATGATGACTCTATTCAAAAACCATAGTTATTATCAAAGGAATAATAGTTATAGTTAAGTTGTTTTTAATGTAGTTTTCTTTTTTTTTTTAACGCTATATAGATTACGTTATTCTCAAGTTGCATTAAGATTATGCGATAAACAATCTACAAGTCAATAAATCGATAAAGGATTTTAGGACATTTCTTGAGAGATAAAGAAAATCGTGATTTTTAAGAGAATTTTATCAGTTGCCTTTCGGTTCAAATAAGAAAATTGTTTGAATTTTCAGAAAATTTGCCATTTATTACCACTAACTTTCTTACAAGTATATTGCGTGAGAGTAAAAACCAAGTTATTTTTGTGAGATTTTAGTTAAATAACTAGATATAGTCTTAAAGCTCTTTTATAAGAAAAACTTTCCTATGTAATTTCATTGTAGTAGAATAAAGTCGGCATTAAATTTATATGCAAGTTTATTACACACTGTTATTTCTTGAGGCACTTATCTAAATTATTTCGTGTTTTTCATCTGAATTAAAAACTTTGAAATCTAATAAAAGTACGAGTGTTAATGTATAATAATAGTAAAAAAAAAAAAACAGAAAAAAATACATGAAAATTTACATTAAAAAATAGCTGAAGCGTTAGTAATAATTAAACATTAAGCTAACTTATCTCATTTAAAATAGAGAAATACTGATATTATTCAACCATTGTAATATGTCTTTTAAAACTGAAAATTTATTAATTTATGACTTAAAAATATTTTTCTTAAGCTATAAATATTAATTTAATCAAATTATTTACATATATTAACTTTGGATTATTAGAACATTGTTTAATTTTATTTCTTTCAAGTTTAATATGAACACATTTCTTATTATTTTCATTTCATTAATAAACAAATTAAATATAATAATTAAATCATGAATTCATAATAATCATTTAATTAAACAAGTATCTAAAAGTTGAATTTTTGGACTATACTTTAATCATTAAAACCATGTAAATTGAACCTCTCTAGCTAGAATATAACTGAAGAAATCTGCTATTTTTTATTAGGGGAAGTTAATGATATTTCAGCTGAGTAGTATCGTGAAACAAGTAACATTTCAGCTGTGTTAGTTCAATAAATGCAAACGTTTGGCGTAGGAAATAAATAAATAAAAAATATTTAAAAAAAAAAAATTAAATTTCTTGCTGCTTAATTCATTTTTTATTTTTTTAATGCAAATACTAATGCTCTTTTTAATTCTAATTAAATTTGATATTTACATTACTTTCGCCAAAACTTAAGTAACTTGCTATTGAATATTAATGAAATTCTAGAAACGAAATGACTAAATATAATTATTTACTTAATAATTTTTTAATTGTAGGTTACAAAGTAGATGTGGAGTCGTTTCACTCATTATATTAGTAGCCAATTGGACGATTTACTTGTTACATTTGTATCAAGGAACAGCTGTTATGGCTTATGTGTTCACAGCCTTAAATTGTTTACAAGGAATTATTTTCTTTATCTTCTTCATCATTAAAGACGAACAGGTGAGGATATTTTTCATTTAATAAAATCATTTTAAATAAATAAATAATCTAAATAGATGTAAAAATCTTACAAAACTTAAATACCCTTTTTCAAAATTCGAATGGAAATCACATTTCAAAAACTTTATTTAAACTGAAATAGTCGATTTTATTTTTTTAGAGGGGGTTAAAACTTCAATTTTTCGAACTATTCCTTAATAAAACTATTAAGGAAACTCGCGATTTATGTATTTTCCCAGTAGTATTTACGTAACGCGGATCGTATTGTAACTCAGGACGGGTTGGATCTATAAATTGATTATATTAACCGTGGCATCGATCCCAGTAACTAAAGCACCTGCCTTGCTTTCCCTTTAGGTACGTAGATCTATACAAAAATCCATGTGGAGAAATGAAAGAATATCCGGATTTCTGAGGCGTGGAAAAGCTAGAGGTAGAGGAAGCGAACATTGTCCTCGTCCAAATGGTATCGTCACTGTGACATCAAACACTCCAGGCCAGTACAGTGTGGGTAACTCATGTCTTCCCACTCCCAGTACTGTTACTTCTCTGTCACCAGGTACTGCACCCACTTGGTTTTGATTTTTTTTTTAATTATCCACTTTTTGCTTAATTTTTTTTTGTTCTTTTCTTAAAAAAAACCAAGTGAACTAATCACGGAATGTGGCACATAAGCATGAACCCCATTATATATATATATATTCTATTGTTTTTGGCCTTAATAATAGCACTTCTGTTTTATTTAGCTTCTTATTTATTAATAAACCAAAATGTATTAAATTCAATTATAATNATCGTATTAACTTTTTCTTTGAATTTTTATAGTTGGATAACTTGTACGTGTTATTGGAAATTGTGCCAAACAAAAACACGTCGCCTATAGCTTAAAGGCAATTAAATATTTAATAGTTTTCAACATATGCGTGGCTGTATTGTCATCAGTTGACATGACTTATTGCACCCTTACAGAATAAATTTGGCTCCTCCCAAAACTAATTTTGATTAATTACCCTCCTAACACTTCATTCTAAAAGTTTCACGAAATCATTTAAATACACGTTAACAGATAGGCTAAATCCTTAGCCTAGATTTCTCCCCCTTTTTTTTAATTCTTTATTTTATGTTACAGTTTTAAAAAGGCACGCAATTTCTTATTTCTGTTTTGTTTAGGAGATAAAAATCTGTGATTTTTATACGGCAACCTCTACGTTCTAATACAAAATTTTCAATTGGAAGAGAAAACATTTGAAAAAGGAAGAAAAAAAAATCTCACTTTCTCTCTCTTCGAAAAGCATTTTGGGGTCGTTAGCCAGCTGAGAACCACTCTAAGTCGAAAGTACTTAGGAAAGTACCCCCTCGGGTGTCCCCTACTTCTCATTAATGTGTGTGTTTTGTGCTAATTTGTTTCTGCTAATGACACGCCGGGGGATCTGATGTTAGCACGCAAAAATCCCCTTCATGTTCACCAGAAGCATGCATTCTGTCGCATCAAAGGTTTGCATAATTGACGAGTTTTGTGAAACGAGCAATTAGGAAACTTAGCAAAGTCTTATGTAATATATTCAAGTTCTGTCACACTTTTTTTTTTAATCATACATATATATATATATTTATTTAAAATACGCAGATGTCATACAAAAATAAATAAATAGATTCGAAGTTTTCCTACTTGAAAAATCTTTTCTTTTAAAAGACGATAACGTTTTGTTACGTAATTTAATTCGTAGCGTAATAACGAATTTCTTTATAGGGAGGTGGAAGTAGAAAATTATAAACATACGAATTCGAAATTTGTAATGTGAAAAGAGAGACCTTGGAGGGGTGCTATTTTCGTGTATATTTATGGATGGGAGTGTTTTCCTACTGTAATACTCACCTCACCCCGCATCGTCTTATCTTTAAAGTCATCGACGGATTTGATGGAATGGAAACGACCCACTAAACGACAGGGCTACCTTCTGTAATATTCCACTTCCCCATACAACCTCGGGCCATTTTTTTCTAGTAAAAGGATTTTTTTTAAGGTTACAAATTTTATAGGGCTATATTTTCTTTTTTGAAATATTATCATCTAATTTTTCTTTAACTTTATTATAATACGGTTTATTTATTTTCTCATTTCCTCCATTTATCTTTAAGCCAATAACTTATTAAGGAATCATTAATTAACTTTGATCCTTACTAATTTAAAAGCCGAATGAACACCCAAACTTTACAGAAACTTTATTTATTATGAAATTACTTTTCGTATACATAAATGTAAATCGATGCTATAGATTAAATTCTAAGTTGTAAACTTTACTTGACCTATAGAAAAGGGTAATTAATTTAATCAAATTTTGCATAAATCTTTTTATTTTATTTTATTTTTCAATCTTATTTAGGGAGGACGGCATTAAGCATTAAAGATGCTTTAATTTAAAGCATTAATTTCAGTTTATTCTGAAATATTCGCATCGATTTTTCTTGTAATATATTACTTGAAATGCATAATAATCTCGTTATATAAGTAAATTTATTATAATTTTTAATAATGTAAATTTAAAACGTTTACAATGTTTTATGGGGCTCATCACCGTCGTTTTTTTTATTTGTTATTATTGCAAAGGAAACGTATTCAATTATCATTGAATGTGAAATTGTTTGTCTTTTCCCAAAGGCACTTTTTTTTTCCTTANGAAAACTTTTCGAACGTCAAAATACATTTTGGTTCATTAATAAATTGTTTAAACATGTGCATTAATTTTTACCTGCTTGCAGAATGTTAAAGGCTATTTTCTGCATGTAAATGTGCATGTTAGTGAATGCAGACATTTTTAATGTTTTATATGTGTTACATTTTATAAAACATCCCTTTTTTTTATTTAATTAACTACCTAATTTACAATTGTAATATTTAACATTTTTAATAATAGAAACCCTTTTAAGAATAGTAATTATATAAAAGCATTTATAAATCTTGAAAAAAAAAGACTAGATCATTAATTATCATTTTGAATATTTATTCAAACTTCCTTTAGCACATTAGTTACTCTATCGATTGATCATTTAAAAACGAAAGAAAAAAAAATCTTTGGCAACTATCACTGGATAGTTTCCAAGTCAAATTTTCAATTTTCTAAACATTAATGAAAAAGTTCAATAGTATTGATTTCATCCAGTCGAAATTAAAGCAGCATCGTCACTAGACAGCTAAAGAGAAATGCAATAAATAGGTCGCTAAACCTAATTACCAGTTTGGCCATAGGTATCTGTCATCCCCCATCACTTTCCCTATCCTCTAGACATGCCCAGAGGTTCCTCTTTGTCATCCTGGATTGGATTGCTCTTGTCCAAAGGGACTTGCAAAGAGCGACCCTGTTCCGAACAGGGGAACGATTTACTCTCTGTTAGTTCCCCCTCCAGACCTCAGGGCTTGGGTAAGTAGACATCAATTACGTATCTGGTATCTAAAAGTTCTCGAAAGTTTTGGCGGTTTAAAGGCAATAACACGAACTATCGGTCTTATCTGAATTAAATTACAAAATTTTAATATTCCTCTCCTCTTTTTTCACCATCAGAAATGTCTGGTACCTAAAGGGTTCTTAAGTTTTTGTTTACCCAAAGTGATAACCACTCCCTGAAATAAAAGAGAATTTTTTTCCAATATTTTTTCGATAAGCTTAACTGCAACGATACGTCTCATAATATCAAAATTTAGCGATTTTGAAGAAAAATCATTTTTAAAATTATAAATGACTTGTTCGCCCTCGTAACTGTTATAAAAATCGAAAGTATTAAACCATTCTCTCTCCATCGAATTCGATTGTAAGTAGAGAACTAATAAAAAATCGATAATGAGGTAACATTAAGCGTGATAAGTAGAAAAATAAGATAATAAGATGGGAGTTTCTCTTCACTTTGGGGAAACACGATCTATATAAATAAAATTCTGTTTATTTTTGGAGATACTTTCTGAAGTCTTCCATTTCAAGAACAGAAAAGGTAATGAAAGTACAAAAATATATAAAAAGAAAATATATCCTTAATATTTTATTGTTCGAGAAACATCTATTTTTTATATCTATTCTCTTGCAGTTACCACACCTGAATTGGAATTCACCCAAGGAGCTCCCCCAGCACCCAACCAATATAGAACACCTGATCTATACCACACCAGGTACCACGCTTTCATAAATTATTTATTTAATTAAAAGAAACATTCTTTAAGTCAACAAGTAATCGTATTTGTCTAAGGTCAATACTTTTAGTAGTTACCCCCTAATAGAAACAGCAAATATTGTAGTAGAGTGGAATTGCATCTCCCATAAGAATAGCGTAATGTTATAAATCGATAACTCTGTTTACACAACTTTATCTATTAAATTGGATTAATTTTAAGAACCTTTTCAGGTCACCAATCTATTGCCACACTCAACATCTTGGAACGTGAAGGTACCCATCTTTCGCAGTGGTACTCCGATACGGAGTATAGCAACACAGTAATGCGAATCCTCGAAACCGAAGACAGGAGACAGAAGGATGATACTACTAAAACTTATTGGCCACCACCCCCACAGACTGTCGACTTTACTTGTTGCACTCCTTCCGGTCATTCTGTCTACAATATTGAACATTTTTACGAATCAATCGACGAATATGGACGTCGTGCACCTATTACACCATCCAGAATATCATTACCCAGAACTGATTCCTATTACTGCCACGGTGAACATTACAGCGAGACTGCTACTTATTCTGAAAACTCGCAAGGTAGTATGGCGGCTCCTTCATCTGTTTCTGCAGATTGCAACGTCGGTATTCTTCAGAGCATGCCTAATTTGCGATTATGGAACGAGGTTTCGTCTGTTTATCCTCCTACCACTTATAAATATTCAAGTTTCGATGATGGAATCGGTGGTGACGTTATGGGGACGTGACGCTAGTCACACTAGTCACAAACGACGTCGCCCACGGCTATGTAAAGCCACGTATAAAGTTTGGAAATATCGAAGAAGAGGAGTTTGTGTGTTTTTTGATGTTAGTAAAAATGGTGCGGTTTAAAAAATTCGTCAAAAAACGAGATGTGTATAAAAAAATAATAATAATAATGTGGATTATAAATACTCCGAAGGAACCATTTTTCACAGGAATTTTTCTCCTTCTCAGCTTTGTACATTTACGCGTGTTTCCCTCTTCATTCCAGTACATACGTGGTCATGTTTGTTGTGTCCCTCTTAATCCCTTTAAATCGTTTTTTGGAAATTTTTGTAACTGAGTAGATTATTTAAAAAGAAAAAAAAATGAAAAAAATTTAATGGTACTGGAATTTCTCCGATGCCTTTTTTTCATCTTAAAATCTGTTTGAAGATAGCCATAGTTTTTTGTACCTATTAGAAACCAAACCAGCTACACCAGGTCCATTATGATACTTCTCATCTGCCAAAATTTCAGAACTTAGAAGAAAGAGAGAGAGAGAGAAAAAAAAAACGATACATATCCCATTTTCATTATGTCTTTCTATAATAAAAAATATACTGTTCAATACGTCATCTGGGTTGAGTACTGTGATAAATAAATCTCCTATAAAATCCCGTTTTCTTTATCACGTTTTGGGTTTTTGTTTTCAGTTGAAGAATTTTTTTTTTAATGTATGAATGTGTATGTGTGGTTAGTGATCATCCATTTTGCGTCTTTTTATTCCTTCATTTTTTCGTTTGTCTGCTGTACGCTGGCTTGAGGTTCGTATCGGCAGAAAAATAAAATAAAAATAATAATAAAAATAAAGGAAATTATTTATATACTTATACGTTGTTGTTAATTAAAAAAAAATGGCGTAACTTTAAAGAAATTATCGTATATATAATTGATTAAACATTAATTTAGTATCTTATTAAGTCTGTTTTTAAGTTATTTTTTTTTAAATTAAATTCTTAATAAAAGAATTTTAAATTAATTAGCACATTTAGAAAACTTTAATTAAAAATAAGATGCTTTTATGAGTAGCATCATCCTCATCACCGTCGTTTTTTTTATTTGTTATTATTGCAAAGGAAACGTATTCAATTATCATTGAATGTGAAATTGTTTGTCTTTTCCCAAAGGCACTTTTTTTTTCTTTATAATTTTTTTTTCGTTCAAAAATCAAGAAGTGTTATTTGATTAGAAAAATCAATTAAATAAGTAAAATAGTTGAAAAACACGAGAAAAGTTAGGGGAAAAAATTTATATAACAATACATTTACATTTAATTTGTTCATTTTAAATGACTTTCTGTTATTCATTAAATAATCATGTGTCAAAAAAATTAGCAAACGTACAATTCGTTTAATATCGTCGTGACGATTTTTTCGACTTAGAAAATGGATTCTTGGTTGATTTCTAAACTCAAAAATAGCGTAAATATAATTATGAAAATTGGAAATTTAATATATTTTTGTTTTGTAGAAGAATTAATGACTTATATTCTCTCTTTTACATAATTTGTGGAAGCGAAAAAAAATTTTTTAGAGAATATTTAATTTTTCAAAGAAACAAAAGCAGAAAAAATATATATTTATTCTTTGCAGATGTCTTATCAGATTTTGCGAACATAATCCATATAGTTTGTATTATCCAGAAAGTAAAGTAAAGTGTGCCTTTACTTGAAGAAACTTTAACGTAAGAAGAAAGTATTCTTTTATTTTCTTTACGAAAATTCGGATGTAAGAAACAAAAATTCCTTGTTTTTTACAATCCCTTATAATAATATAATGGTGTGTTTTGTAATAAAGTTATGCGACTGTCGTTAAAATTTTTCAATTGGAAAATTTACAATTGCTCCAACCTACTATATAACCTAGTGAATTAATCTATAAGTTACATCAGTTTTCTACCGTTTACAACTATATAGTTTCTGACAGATTACCAGTTACTTCGTCTGTAAATATTACAACATAAAAAAACATAGTAAAATAGTCCAAAAAACACGGGTTCTTTGATATATTTTACACAAAGTATGCTCTTACTATATCCATAATACCAAATGTCACCCTATTCGCTATCGAACTTATAATATATTTACTGTATAATCCTAGATGTTAGTATTATTATAAAACTTCGTTTAGTACTCTTGTTCATTGAACTACATCAAAAGTATTACAGTCGGTATAGTCTATGTGACAATTTCACGTTCAAGTAACTTTTGTCCACTATCCGCCCAACATCTGGACTTTTGGGAGTTATCGGTCGCATAAAACCTACCAACTTTATTTTAAGTCGTAAAACACGCACGTGGACTTCCTGCTCTTTGAGAGTTGAAAGGTTTAACTTGCACAGCACGACCATTTTTTTTTTCCTTTTTTCGTTTTTTTTTTTTTAAGTTGCAAGTCTTACAGGGTTGGTGATGTTTCTTTTGTTTTTCTTTCATGAAGACAAGTTTGTTGACACAACACGCTGCATAGTATTCTAACGACCAGTTTAATGTGTCTTTTTTGATGACGAATGAAAAAATCCAGCAATTTAACAAAAAGAGAATATTTATTATTATTTTTTGTTTATTTGTTCGTTTTTTTAAGAAATTAAAATAATAAAATGATCGTTTTGAGTAATTCTCTGTACGATTATATACGGAATATTTTTCCGGTATTTATATACTTATATATTTAATAATAACGTTAAAATTCGTCTCTATTTTCACTTAAGTAAAAATCATTTATTAAGTTGGAATAATTCTGTGAAGACGTTTCGCTTTATCTCCGCTTGAGGCGCTTCCAACTCGATCAGTTGTCCATCCGTCGGGAAGTGAAATCCGCGGAATTTCCGCTTCCAAACGACATCCGGCCGTACTCCCGTCAATCCATCCTTCTCCATTTAGCTTGATCGTTCTACTATGGATCAACCATTAAATCCCTTCAATATAAATCGCGTATATAATACACATGACTTGCCTTAAAACTTCGTAATCCTCACAAATTATTATACCGAAATGAATTAAAATATATGAAATTTAATATAAAATTTTCAATTTAGGCTAAATCTTTAAGAAAATATCTCGTCTACACTCTTCTCTATATTTTACAATGCTAAAATTATACAATAATCTCTAAGAAGATTTATAAAAATACATCTTCTTCTTCTTCAACTAGGCGTACAGTCGGTAAAATTAGCAACCTGATACGCGCATTTACCTACTTAAGAAACTGCATCAGATAAACACATGGTTGTGGCATGCACCTGGAGCACACATGGCTGTTTTGCAATGTATATTTTTATCAGTTAGGGATCAAATAATGATTTATATATATATATATATATATGCTACTGCATAAAAGAGGGATGTAGTACATGGGCCTACCCATCAGATGATGTGTATGTTGAATGATGACACAGATTCGGCATTAGACATGTAGCATGTTTGGTCACTTTGCCATTAGCAGTAAATCATAATGCCTTATTCGATCTAGAAGATGCAATATATTTCTCTTAGATTCATAGTTAGTTAGATCAGAATCTATCATTGTTACAATAAACATTAAACATCAACTTTTCTTTTAATAGATGTAGACGGTCATTAACTAAACTTATATATATATATAGGCCTATATATTAATTTTGTATTAAAATTTACATAAAAATAATAAATATTATTTAAGTAAACGTACAAAATTATATAAATTTTAGTCTACTTCATATAAACTTCTATTTTATCTGATAATATTTTAATTGTAATTTAATGAGGATTAATAAAGAATGATATTTTTAAAAGGTTAATTATAATTTAATTGTTAAATCTTAGATAACGTCTCTTCATTATTTTAAATGCTAATCTATAAGATCTTGAATTGAATATAGATTATATTGTATTTAAATATTGTTATTTAAAAATATCCCAGTATTTATTTAATTAAGAAATCCATATATTCTATCTCCGAAATGATATTTTCTATAGATTAAACTTTAATAGAAGCTGAAATTTTAATAAATTTTATAAGAATAAATTTCCTTTAAGAAGCGATTAGTCTAAAACACCTTGAGAGGATAAATGAAGAATAAATAAAGGATAAATGACATTTATCCTTTCTTCAGTATGGAATTTTACATTGTTCCTATCAATTTGACACAACAGCTTTGCAATAAAACATTATTTTAAATTAATCAGAATCTAAATTAATGTTTTATTGCAAAGCTGTTGTGTCAAATTGATAGGAACAATGTAAAATTTCATACTGAAGAAAGGATAAATGTCATTTATCCTTTATTTATTCTTCATTTATCCTTTCAAGATGTTTTAGACTAATCGCTTCTTAAAGGAAATTTATAAACATAAACAAATTCTCATTACTGTATAGAAAAATAGAAGATATTTTGAAATTTATACATTTTATAGCAAAAATTTCAATTAAACACTATCAAAAATGAAGTATAATAATCAGAAATTCGTCTGGAAAATTAATATTAAAAATAAATCCATAAATGTTTCTTTTTTAGAATAATAATAATAATAATAAAAAGGAAAAAAGAATAATGAGAAAAGACAAAAGTTACAAACAATAACATTCTCTCACTGTCTAAATTCAATTCTTTGAAAAGGCAGTTCACGGAAGACATGATTTTCTAAGGTCAGTAATGCACTATTGTGTAACAATATTTGTGGTTAAAATGACTTTTACTTTTAGCTTTATAAACACACCGTTCCTAGCATTTCGATATATGAGCAAACTACCCAAAATGTCTTTTAACTTACTGTACTTTTCTACAAACCTTTCATATGTGACGTAATTTTAACTTCCGGTTTCCTGTTTCTAAAAGTGTATCAAATATTTGCTGATTCCAGAATAAGTTCGAAATTTTCACTAGATTTTCCATTTATTTTAATCACTACAATACAATAGCTAAGACTCAAAACTTTCACCTTTTTATTTATCTTTCCAGTCGGATTCTTTTTCCAAACAGATTAATTTCGAAATTTAAAATTATTCCCAATATTTTTATACTCAAATAAATTTAAAATATATTAATAATTCTTTATTATTATTATTATTATTATAACTTATTTTTTAAATGTAAATATTTAACATTTATATTAAAAGAGTTATACTTTTAACATTGATGTTCTTTTTTTAACTTTCGGGGATTTATGCTTAAACTATTTGAAAATCCTATCTGAAGTTTAAAACTTTTTTAACGTCTGAGAATTTTTAAATACTTTTTTTTTCCTTTTACAGATTTAAAAGCATTTAAACTACTTTTAAAAAGTTTAAATATGTACTTAACTTTAATTATTATGTAAAAGATTAAAAATTTTTAAGTATTTCTTTTTTACATTTCAAATCTTAAATATTATATTTAAAAAAAAAAAAGT